CATTAAAAACAAACCAAACACAAAAAACTTCTTGTTTGGGTCAACTGGGCTTAAACCATGACAGGCCTATTCTTCCGTACTCATACACCAAGAGAAAGACCACCGTTATGATATCTGTAGTTAGGATACCAGCAGATGGAACAGTCACTGCCCCAGCTAACCATTATGTGTGTTGCTGGGGAAGTCAATTAAGGTAGATTAATTTTTCCTAATTTAACCATATAAAAGAGAGGCACCTGGTTTAACCTACCATCCCATCTCCCTCTACTTTCAATGGGGAGAGAGGGGAAAACAAAGAGAAGTCTGGGCTATGAGTGAAATCACTCGCTCCTTGGTGGTGCCCCCTCCACCACCAGGGAGGAAAGTGCTGGTACATTTGAAACTCAAGTTTTCTCTGTTAAACTGAAATTTTATCACTCCTTATCACACAGAAGAGTTAGGAAGATGACTGTGGGACATTCAGATTCGAGGGCAGTAAGAGGCACATAGGAGCCATTGATAGACTGTGCACTTCTTGAACTCCCATCCTTCGCAGCTGGACGTAGCTGAGAGAGTTTGGCAGCGTTCACAGTCCAAGCCTGGAGCACAAATTTGGCTGAGCTTGTTTTTTCCATTTTCGTCAATATTAAAAATACGTCCTCTACATGGTACTTCTTCTGGCATTCACCACAGAAAGGCCTTTGCAGGCAGAGTCCAACACCACCACATTTTTATAAATGCTTCACAGAAGTGTACAGATTTCACAAGCTTACATTGGCTTAAACAGGAGGAATTTTATGTGCTTTACCAATGTTACCTGAGGAAATATAGCTCCCAAATGGTGATCCCCCCCCAATAGAGTTATAATATAGGGGTGGATATATGTTGGCACTGGGCCAAAGTTTCTTAAAGGACACTTAAACCATTTTAGATACAGAGCTTTCAAAGCTTGTTCTGAACTTTAACTTTTGCTTTTTAAACTTGGTTAGTATTTTGTTTAAATTAATCTCTCCTCTAAGATTAAATATTAGAATAGATTTTAGATTAAATGCCTCTTCTTTAATTTACAACCACAGTGCCTTCTCTGCAGTCAGTTTGTATGCACAATGCAAAAGTGAATTTTGAACGTTAACTGTTTCATAATCTCGAAAAAAATTCAAGAGGGGTGTGCAAATATCATAGAAAAATTAAGGATAACATACACACTAAAAGTAAATAGAAATATTTGGGTAGAAGGGCAGAAATCCTTTGCCTATGTACAGAAACTCCCAGAGTACTAACAGTGGTCCATAATTTTCCAAAGTTCTGGGGTACGTTTGTGTTCCTAAAAATAACCATTTTGTTCAATTCTCAGTGTTCTAGAAATGCCTGAATTGGTTAGTGAGAAAGAGAGTTTTTCTGGCCGTGGAACATTTCTTCATAGCAATAATAACAATTCCTTATAGCTTATAACTTTTTTTAAAAAAAAAAAAAAAAAAAAAAAAGGACAATGATACCAAAGGTATAATTTTAAAATCAACAGAATTAAATTGCCATAAAACCACTGCTATTGAAATCACATTTACTTGCTATTAGTTTGTTTTGTTTGGTTGGGTTTTACCTGGAAAGGTTTAGGAGGTCAATTTTTAATATATAATGCATTCAGTTGGTAATAGATGTAATAGGAAAATGACTGAATTTATAACTAGTAAAAATGCACCAATGGCAGGGAATAACTCTTAAGTATAAACATAATGGCACTGGCAAATTCTAAACTTAGTACATGAAATCTAATAGGAAGCCAGAATATGAAAGCACTAAAATTTAATATTATGGGTCACCTCTGTCTAATTTCATTTGGAATTGCATTTATCTGCTTCCAGATTTAACTAGATCCATAACATGCAAAAATACAATATGCGAGTTAGGAATGCGTGTATCAATTTGAATAGAATAGCAGATAATGTAAACTTTACATTTTAATCACAAAATCAGGCGGCTTTGAAAAAAAAAAATATTTTGCAGGCTACTTTAAAACATTTTTCCCCATTTTTTCACTCCTTACTAGAGCTGAGTTAATACCAACAGCATAGCAATACTTTAGTGCAAGAGAGAGCATTTGTGCACGGATCCTGCCCTGTCCAGAGTACTGGAAATGCCAGAGCCGCATGATTGGAAGAGTCCCAATTCCTTTTCTAGCGGAGATTTGAATAAACATCTGTGCATTTGGATGATCATCTCAATTAAACTGAGTATGGCAGCGACTTCCCTTAGCAGTTTCCCTGTCACTAAAGGAAATGAGAGTATAATTTTATAAGTCCAATTACAGGATGACTGTTTAGCAGCCAAACATCAGGTCAAATGCAAAGTAAAAGACAAATTAGAGGTATCTCACTGTAGATTGGTTTTGTGTATTACTATACTATATCATATATAAAGCCTTGTTCCTAAACCAGAGAATTCATAGTCTGTTTATACGACATGGCACACACATGAATGAAAAAGCACATAGCCTTTTTTAAAGTCCCATTAATTCTAAGTCATAATTCGAAGCACAAATTGTGTTTTTCTTGTTCTCTTGATTTTTTTTTTTCATATTATCTGGTGTGCCATCTCACTCATCCAAGTACTGCTACATCACTAGGACATATAATTTAAGATTGAACATGAAAAGATGAATTATTAAACCATAATACAGGTGCTTCAGGCTCTGTCTGAGCTGGGATGGATCATTCCTTCCTTCTTCCTGAGCACTGATTTCTTTACAAAGATTTCCTGGGACAAGAATTCACCTTCTATCAAGTCTATATCAGCTTCATGCACTTTGTCAGCTACTTACCTCCCCTAAGCTACTATATGAACACTGAATGCTGGACATGAACTGCTAATTGGGATGTTCCTTGTGTAAATATACAGGTTTGATATAGTAAGCTGTTAGAAAAGCAAACGGGAAAAATGGAGAATGGCTTCAGATAAGCCATCTCACAGCAAACTCTCGTAATATAAAACCTGGATTGTTAATAAAATTCTTATTTTTTTACCTGAGCCACCTTAGAAAATTGTTTTGCCAAGACCGAGGGCCAGATAACCAAAAGGACTGTGGCTGGCTAAGATATCCTTTCACAGAGCTAGAAATGGAGGTCACCATCACGGAGCCGTTCAAAACCTGATCAGATGTGTCCATGTTGCCCTGTAAAATCACCTTCTCCCATGCCAAATTCATCGGCTGCCCACTGTCTGCTTGGATCCGCTCACAGGAGGCCTAGCTAGTGTGCAATAAAGACACACAGGGAGGGCTCAGCTTTTCTGGGTCCTCTCCAAAGGCAGCCTGGACAACCCAGCTCCCCACAAGCACCTTGGCCAGAAGCTGTCCCGCAGAGCGGTGCCAGGGTGGGCAGCAGACAATGTCCCCTTGGCTCCCCACCGTACGCTTCTCCACCTCTGGAGCCCCTGCCCGGAGGTTGCAAGCAAGCAAACCAGTTAGATCAAAGGATTCCCACCGCATGCTGGGATGGTAGCGGCCACTCGCAGTGTGCGTGGATGACCAGCAGCACATGCTATTGTTTCTAACCAGACCAGCACTGTCCACATGAATATAAATGAACATGCACACCAGCAAAGTCGAGTGGTACCTAGCACATTCATAAAACCAAATGAAAACTTGGCTGTGTGGAACTGCAGCACTCTGGTAGAGATCTGTAGTGCTTTACGTTTGATATTATTTTCAGTGGGGTACTTTTCCTACAGAAAAAAACCAAAATTTCTGTTTTCTGTATCACATTCTCGCGAACAGGGTCAGCTTCCAGGAGTGTACAGCACAGTGAATGAAAATTACTGATATAAATCAGGCGGCTCAATTATTTCAAAAGAGCTGAATCACGTTGTGCCAGTAACGATTTCGCAAATATTTGTGTATGAGTATTTATGAGGCGCGAACTCTTGTCTATATGTGTGTTCAGCTTAGCCTGAATTCAGCAGAGATATGCTAAATCACAGAGTAGCTAGTACCTAGTGGTTAAGCCTGCATTTACACTCACATAAAGCACAAAAGTGTCCTGGATTTCCATCTAAAATTGATGGCTGACATCTAACCATCCAGCTTGCCCCTGTAGGACACTGCAGAATCAAACTCGAGTCTTGTTTCCCACTGCTCAGTGCCACGCATGATCTCTGTCCCTCCCTCAGAGCACACAGCAGGTATGTAAGGCATCAGGAGAGTAACAACACGGTCACTTTCCACAAATGAACATGAGTAGAATATTGCTAGAGGCAAGGGGAATTAGGTCTCAGGAATATAAATTTTGAGCTAAAGAATTAATTTATGTTTGTTTGAAAGAGCTCAGTGAGGCATGAAAATGTTCAGGAATGTTCAGTCCTAAAGGGAATGAGATTTATCAAAGCCATTTGAAAGGATAATACATTCATTTCTGGTTCTACAGGCAAAGAAAAGCCAGAAGAGTCCAAAGCATTAACGACATAGAAGCTATTTTTCATGTTGCCAAATTAGAAGCTATTTTTCATGCTGCTATCATTACCTCAAGTTTGATGCTACAGTGAAAGGCAAATCTGGCTCTGGTAAGCAATTATTAACTTGCGATAAGCATTAGGTTTACATTTAAAGATCAAAGCAAACATATATAAAACCACTTTGAGTACATACATATCCTCTGCTTTATGTCCTTGCTCTTGGTTTTATATCCAGTCATCACTGTGTGTTTCCCTCTTGCTTTCTTAAGAGTCCAGGAGCAACCAGAATCTGTATTGAAAAGAAAATGTAGTTAATTTAATTCATAGTAATATGTAATGGACTAAAAACTTCAGGCAGAGATTATCTCAGTCGGTATACTAGACCGATCCAATGTCAGGGGAGGTTTCGATACGATCCCAAGGACGAGATTACGATGCTGAAATCGGTCAGGTGTCGTGCAACCTTTTACTTTTATTTGGGGGGGAAGAGAATGGAGGGATGAGGGAGGGCAAGGGAAGAGAGGAAAAGAATAGGGGCGAGAGGGAGAGAGAGAGAAGAAGGAGCCTTTCGCCACCTTCCCAAGTCCGAGGATCTTCCGCTGGGTCTTCGCTGGCCTCGGGCTTCGTCGGGGACCGAGGGGCCGCCTGAGGGCGGAGGACGAGAAGGAGCGGTCGCGCGCGCCGCCGCCGCCCAGGGGCACGTGTGCTCCCCACACAGGGGCTCTCGCGCACGCGCAGATAGCAGCCGTGTACGTGCGGTTTGTCACGGCGAGCCGCCCCCGCCGCTGCTCTTTCCGCGCCTTTTGTCCCTGCGCAGGCGCACGGGGTGGTTCCTCTCAAAAGTGTGGAGAAGAGGGTGGTTGTCGAAGCGCGACGCTGGATGGCGCTACCGCGGCAATGTCGAGACGAAACCGCACGTGGTGCCGCCGGTTCCCTACGCAGAGGAACCAGAAGATCCGTTACTATCAAACTCATTAGAGAGACAATGAAGCACTTTCCTAATTGTGTTATTCTTCTCGCCTCTGAAAAAAGCTACCACCCAAATGATCAAACCATTAGTAATACACATTTACTTAAACAAAATTCCCATTTATCTAACAAATCCCAATGCTAGAGCTCCCCATAACTAAAATTGCTATTCAAAGATTATTGTGCCACGAGAGGGCGGAAGGTTGGCAATCTTCATTTCAGGGAAAGGGTCTTTACTGTGACAGATTCCATCTACTCTTTCCAGAAGTGAACTTTGTCTGTAGCTAAGTAATCTGCAGGTCGTCACTATGACCAAATCCTGAAGTCTTTACTCATGACTGAGCTCCACCTGGGATCCATTTGTGCGGTTTTTTGTGCTTCAATAAATCTGGCCCTTTGCTTCTGTTTGTCCTCTGCTCAGTCTAAACTTTTCAGCTGGATAAAAATGGAGGCATCGTTTTGAAAACCCATACTGAAAAGTCTATTTTTCCAAGCATTTTATGAAAAGCTTAAGAGTACAGATTTCAGCTCAGGCTCTGAATAAAACAGTTAAGAATTTGGTTTGAATAAGACTCACTATATCTTTACTGTAAGGCTAAGTAATAGAAGTATGCTTCATTTCATGTCTTAGGACAGTCTGCTAGATATGACTTCTGTACAGTAATTTTAACAGGTTATGAGCTATTCACCTCTACTCACATCTAACAGATTCTTCTAAAGTTATATGATCATACGTACAAACAAGCAAATTGATGGCAGATTTAGTCATTTTGCAAATGGTATTAAATGTACCTGTAAAAAAATACCTGAGCCTATTTTATGTGTAGCAAACTACTGGGGGAAGAGGACACCTGACAACTTGAAGAAGCCAAGTTCATCTCCCTAAATGCTTGAGAACCATCTAATCATTAAATGAACCAACAGCTTGCAAGATCACTGACCACGAGAAGGTCAGGCATCACGGTCATATTAGACTAAGTACCGCAAGTTCATAGGAGATATTAAAGACTGCTTCCAGCTACTGATCATTTCTAGTCCTACAACACAGCAAAGCTGTGATACTGGAAATGCCTAAAGCTTTCTACCAGTTTCTGTGTCCACTTCATGATCAGTGATTCCATTAGCTCTGCTCTTCACCCAGTAGCACTGATTTACTAATATGGAACATGCTTGCTTCTGTGCCATATCCTAACAAATTTAGGCAGGCTAAAAAGTGTAGATATGTCTGGATTTACAAAAGAGTTGGCTGCAAAACTTCCAGGTCCAATCCACTCTTGCCAATTCTCCTGGATGCTCAATATCTGTAGAAATCTCATCCTCTGACCCTTGAGTTTCCTTTAAATTGAATGAAATTTTTTTTATTGCCAATCGTAAGGTGAAAGTATGGAGAATTATATTTCTTTTCAAAGTACCTGTAGAGTTTTAGGTTTGGTTTCTAATGCACGTATATTGAAATCATTGTCGTTTATATAGTCCAGAAGTTTCTTTTTTAATGGTCTGAAGCTTTACATGTCCTTATACACTGGTTTGTCTTAAAACCAGTCTAGCTCTTCTGTTACAAATGGTTTTAGTTTCCAAATAAACTAAGTGGCAGAGCAATTCAAAACGTATTGAATTAATTTAAAATATTAATATCCACAACTGGCTCTAAATCAAGAAGAATTACTCTAGACTTAGTGAGTTTTATTTCTGACAGTTCTTATTTTTAAAATATAGTAAAACATATTGCATATATTCACTTACTTTAAAAGAGCAAATCAACAACACAGGGATCGACATACTCCTTGGTTTCCTCGTGTCTAAGACATTCCTTTATACAGAAGAAAATGCTTGACTTCTTTTCCCTTCATTGAAGAAATAATCCTGTAAATGCACTTTTCATGTCCCAATGTGTAGCCACTTTGATGAACTTCTAGATTCTGCAATTAGATAAATCAGATTTCCTAGTGAAGATCTAAAGCTGCGAGTACAATTTATCTTCAGTTCACTAGTGATATGGGCAGTTACTATCTTGGGACCAGATCCTGTAAACCTGCGCATGAATAGCTTCACCTGTAACAGCGGGTCCAGCGATGACCATTACGCTGTTCGTGTGAGTCAGGGCATGCCAAATCACTCCCCTGAGGCGGAAAATGTTTGCAGGGTATCAGTCTTGATTTTCTAACAGAAGGTAGTAAAAAGATGGCACAAAGAAATAAACTATAGCCAGGAATATCAAATGGTCATGAAATGCTTTTTTACATTTTTCCCTTTTATATTAAAGATGTTCCATAGTCACAACAAGCCACAACTTAAAGCTCTTCTCTACAAACACTAATACAGGGCACTTTGCAACTGATGACAACAGCAGGGTGATGCAGAATAGCACGAGGCATTTTTTGCAAAACTGGCTCTGCAAACAACATCTGCTGAGCTGGAGGTCAGCATGGCCCTCCTACCACACTCCCAGGTGAAAGCAGCAATGAAGAGCAAGCAAGAGTAGCCCAGGCAAGGCTTCTGATGACTTATTACACACCTCAGATTGCGAACTGGTGCGGGGAAGGTACCAAACTCCATGTCAAGTGGTTGCGAGGTGTCTGCACCCACATTTCAGGAGCTCATGCTCCTGGCATGGCTTGCAAGGTGGGATGGTGCAGCTCCACCGCTCATTGGCGTTTCAAGAGCTCTTGACACTGGGTCACCAAGGTCCCATTTTGGTGACCTTGGCTTGCAGAGATGGAGAACACTTCCAATGTAGCATTTGCAGTGCAATTATTGGGTCTCAAAGAGGCCACCAAGGAGTCAGGAGAGATAAGTAACCCGCAATCATTTCTGGTTGTAACTGTACTGGTTGCCTGGAGGCTGGCCAGCAAAACTCTCCTTAATGGTGCCCTTGCACAGACCTCTCTGTTATCCTGATTCATTGTCACTTTACCCTGGCATTTGCCGCTGTGCCTTTACACACGTAATGCCTCAACGATTTGACCCACATGGAGGCTACTCCCACAACCTGTCCCCGTGGCCTTTCCAGGAGTGCTAGTGATTTAATGGTAATGGCTGTCCACTTCAGAAAGGGTTGTGGAGACTGGGGCGTAAGGGGTCATTATTGTTTAAACACATTTGTTTTGCCTTTCTTCTCAGAAACTTTAAATCAGAAGAAGTTACCTTACACAGAATCCCCAAACTGACAGCTTTAGGATGTGTGAGAAAGACACAGTTAATTTAGTGCAAAAGATAAGATATTTCCTTGGGGAAGCACTAATACCAGGCCTATTACCCCTCAGTGTCATTTCAGATTAGTGTACCGCAGAGAAAAGGATTCTAAATCTTTTTAATTGAAAAATATTTGTCTTTTCCTTACTAAAATAAGTTTCTGCCTAAAGGTTAAACAGTTTTAAAATTACTCCTGAATTACATCCGATTTCTGGACAGTTTATCAAAAAAAGGAGGATGCAGTTTGTCTGTTGCCTTGTTAATTTATGTCACACCAGAGAAAGGAGAAATATATTTCCTCGGTGACCCAAATGAAATAGTTACATAAAAAGATGATTAGAAATACAAAGTCCAGACATATCTAACTTGCTAAGATTTGCCAGCTGTCACAGACACATCCACATGTGTGAAGACATGTGCATACATGTCATAATTATGCATGCAAAGTGGAAGGACAACTATGCAAACTTGGGTGGTTGAAACAACAGTCGCGAGAAGAACTTCACTTGGCTTCTCTCTCCCTTTTTTCTGCCTGAAAGTGAAAAAAGAAGCAAAACCACTGATTTTAATCCACATAGGTTTTTGCCTCATAAGCCATGAAATAACCTCACAAAAAGTAGAAAATGCAAATATCCTTTTACCTTTAGCGTGTTCTGAGCAGGAACATTCGAAAACTGCGATCCGGACTTGCTCAGACCTTGACCCATCAAGAGAAGAATCGCACGTGGCCTTGGACCAGCCCCTTTTTGTTCCAAAACTGCAGAATGAGATTTGAAGCAAAGCCCTTGCTTTGACTGGCGTAGGCACTAACCTCAGGAGCGTCCTGGAAAGCACGGTGCCCTTCGGTCCAGATGACACACTGGAAGATTTAAAAAGCATTGAACAGAGGTAGTTAATTATACATTTAGATGTTCTTTTAGGTAAAATGGTGCCTTGTTATCTATTTCAGAGGTCCAAACACAAAGGCTTAAGTGCACTCTAATTTGGGGGCAGCATATTTAAAATGGCACTCTGCAGGTTGATGTTTCTGTAGAGATGCAGTCTGCCCGCAGTCTTTGGGTAACTGCACGGCTCACAGAACACTTGTGTGTTAGGGTACTTTGTTTTTTTTTTCCTTGAAACTCCTTCCAACCAACTGTACTCTTTCCACTTCTCCACATGCTTGCATAATGGTTGCGTTTCCTCTGATCTTTACCGAAGAAAAAAATATTTTTCTTTTCCAATTCAATCCTTCGCCATTGTTTTCCCAACCTGTAGTTCTCAAGAAATATGATTTCTTAAAAAAAAAAAAAAAAGTAGTCTAATTAAGCCATCTATCAAACTTTTCCAAGTGAGTAGAGTGACAAATTAGCCCTATCTTCCACCACGAACCTGATGGATGGGAAGATAAAGATGCAGAGGCTGTTATTTTAGCTGGAAGCTCTCTACTGTATTAATTATTTGGCCCCAAGCCAAGAGACCCTAAGAGATGACAAGAACTAATGATGGGTCCATGAAGTTTATGCAGCGTGAGGCCTGACATCAAAGGAATCTGCCCTTATTAGCAATATCTCTACGCCTTCTTCCTGGAAAAAATACTCATTTGTTTTTTAAAAAATTTTTCCTGATCATCTTACTGTTTCAGTAAATGGAAAGAAAAAGCAAACTGTAAATAAATTTGCACAATAACATTTGCTGACAAAATCTGCTTTTCTCTACAAATATGAAGTGATTGTTATGACATTACTTTTAAGTCCACCAACAGAGTCTAAGACAGGTAGACTGCAAATAAGT